GATTGGAAGACAAAGTACCATTGAGAAAAGATAAAATTTTCCACGAATTATGAGGCTAATTACAACTAAATGGTAGTCGTTTGCTCAACTGGGAAGGGAATAAAGAAGGTAAAAGGAAAAAATCAAAATCAAATTATTATGTTAGGCCAGATGAAGACGCCAGTCAAGCGGAAAGGGAGGAAATATCGTGAGTTAACAACATAATTCAATGAAACATTAACTATTTACAATCTCAGATAGCATTGATGAGAGCAGCCGAGTCAGGCCGAAGTTGCAGCTTCAACATCCGCTCCAAGCGGTGTCAGTAACCTGGGCAAAACCAGTCAAAATTGGGCCACCATACAAATAGCGTCAGCAAAAGCTGTCAACACTCTGGAGTTAGGTTGAGGCCGAACTCTCAGTGAAGAGGGTATTGCAACAATACTGCAACAGAAGGTGTCATCTGCCGCCCTGTACTGGACACGTGGGACACGGGGCGCATGGTTACTTTGGTCCTGGTGTAAGACCGCCGGATCTGGCCGGCCGACCGGGCTTGAGATCGGCGTCTGCGGCTTGTCCGGCCAGCTCCCAGTGAGCTCGCAACATCTGATAGCAGTAGAGAAGATGCGCCAGAGCTGGGCTCGCTTCTAGGCTGTTCTGATCGAGACCAGTGGTAGCGGTTGTCACGGCCGGTGTACACGACGGCATGACGACAGAAGTGGGCGCAGATGTCGACGCAAATTCTGGTACAGAGGTGGTTACCGGCTCCGAGGTGGGAGGAGCTGGGCGGAGAGCCGGCCAATTCAACCAGCCGGATGAGCCCTCCACTGGCATCGCTCTGCTCCAGACTGCTCTTGTTGCCGGGCTCCCAGCTACTGTGGCTTTGTCGTCAACATCCTGCTCGGATCTGCCAGTCTCAGACGCTCGAACGTCTACTCGTCCTAGCCAAGTCTCGCTTAGGTCTTGTGTTCTAGGCCCGAAGGTTCCCGAAATGGATGTATCATCTTTGAGCGCCTCTTTGCCCGTCGCTTCCATCCCGGAGGACCTTCCAAGCCATACAGTGACTTTCTCATTTCTACATCCTCTGTTCTCCTCACAATCTTCCTTTCCCCTTGTTGGCATGCCTAACTCGTCCTTTACACTCGACCTTCTTACATCCCTTTCTCTCATTTTGTCTCCATTTTCTTCCGGCTTTCCCTTCTCTTCTGAATCTATGATTACCCCAAATCTCTCATTGTACCTTCCAGCCTTGACACCATCCCTGAGTTCATCGCCTCTTTTTGCCGTCGAACTCACTGGCAGCCTTTTTTTACCATCTGCCGGCATTTCTTCGCTTGTCCGCTCGTCTGTAGTCGAACTGGAAGGAGATGTAGACTTGGTGAAGACGTCCTTTCGCTTGTCGCTATACGGTTTTCCAGACTGTCTCATTTGCTCTTGCCTTTCGATCATGTTGCCGAGTTTAGGACTACCGGAAGCATCGTCACTAAGTCGAGGCTGCTTGTCTGCTCTCGGTTGAACAGAGCAGAATGGACTGGCGTCATTTACATGCGCCAGGCTAGCCGGGCCTTTGGGTCCGAAGGGAAAGAATGTTTCATCTCCACCGGCATCAGCTCTCTCCCCATCCCCATTCACATGATTCTCGTCCAATCTAGTCCTCTTTCCTGTGGCCCGGCAGACTTCTGTTTCTTCGCATTTTTCTACCCTTCGTTTGTCACTTCTCTCACTCACCGGTTGGTGCCCTTCAGAGGGTGGCTGTGGCCAGCCCCATTTCCAGGCGCCATTCCATCCAGATGGTGCGAAACTGGTACTTTCTGCGAAATTAGGTAGGACTGGCCAATGAAGCTGAGCACTGACCGGTTCCGAAGGGATGACATGAGTCGTCTGCCACCTGGACACGGGTGTTGGTGCCGCCAGTTGTGTTTGTGAGTGCGGGTTTGGCCAAATCTGCGGCTCAGTTTCGCCAACTGGGACGTCTTTGGGCCGATCAGTCGAAGCGTCAGTGGGGCTGACGGCACAAGTGGACAGACTGCGAGGGCTGGAGGTGATTTTGGTGTTGATG